GCATATGGAACTGTGGGTACAGAGAACTGACTGTAAAGTTATATGTGGATTTTTAACCATGTAGGGGTCGTTGCCCCCACCCCCTCTTTGTTCAAGGGTATTTTGTTAAGGATTTTTTTCTCTATAATGTATATATATATGTTTTTTATATATATGGGATATTGGTCTATAATTTTCTTGTGATGTTATTATCTGGCTTGGGATCAGGGTAATACTGGTCTCATAGAATGAGTTAAGAAGTATTTCCTCCTCTTTCATTTTTTGGAAGACTTATAGAAGGATTGGTGCTATTTTCTCTTAAGTGATCAGTAGATTTTGCCAAATTATGCAGTTCTGGGCTTCTCTTTGCTGGGAGTTTTATAATTACTGATTTAACTTCTTTAGTTTTGTTATAACTTTGTTAAATTAACATTTGTTGAGTAGAGCACAGAAAACCACAAGAGAAATTGAAATAGAGACATTTGTTACTCATAGATTCTGGAGGAATTATTGAGAAGGCTTTGAAGTGGCCACATGGGGAGGTCAAGGCAGAGTGCAGACAGAGAAATGGAGGATCTGGGACATATGTCTTTTTTAGAGTCTGTCTGTAGAGTGCTTTGGGGTTCCTGGGCTTGGGTGGGTGGTTTAGTTCAAACCAAAAGAGCAGGGATTTGGTAAGCTCCATGGGGATTTTTATCCAAGGGGCATGTTGAGCATACAGGTCCTGGGAAGCAGGGGAGACTGTTGATCACAAGTATTAACAGAATCTACGTTTGCTTGTAACTCTGCAGCCTGCAATCTAGGGCATGCACTTCCCTAAAGAGGGGTCTAGTGTTGGTGTAAGGTCCCTAAAGGCTACTTGGCCAAACAAAATGAATGTCAAGGCAGTGATACATGGAGTAGCCTAGCTAAACTCTTTGACAACTTGTGGATCTGTCCAGATTTTCTGTTTTTTCCTGAATCACTTTTGGGAGTCTCTGTTTTTCTAGGAATTTTCATTTTATCTAGGTTCCCTGAGTTGTTGGCATACAATTGTTCATCAGTTCAGTTCGGTAGCTCAGCCATGTCCAACTCTTTGCAACCCCGTGGACTGCAGCATGCCAGGTTTCCCTGTCATTACCAACTCCTGGGGCTTGCTCAGACTCATGTCCATCAAGTCGGTGATGCATTGGTGATGCCATCCAACCATCTCATCCTCTGTCGTCCCTTTCTCTTCCTGCCATCAATCTTTCCCAGCATCAGGGTCTTTTCCAATGAGTCAGTTCTTCACATCAGGTGGCCAAAGTGTTGGAGTTTCAGCTTTAGCGTCAGTCCTTCCAATGAAGATTCAGGACTGATTTCCTTTAGGATGAACTGGTTGGGTCTCCTTGCAGCCCAAGGGACTCTTAAGAATCTTCACCAACACCACGCTTCAAAAGCATCGATTCTTTAGCGCTCAGCTTTCTTTACAGTCCAACTCTCACATCCATACATGACTACTGGAAAAACCATACTTTGACTAGACGGACCATTGTTGGCAAAGTAATGTCTGACTACGTTGATCATAGCTTTTCTTCAAAGGAGCAAGCGTCTTTTAATTTCATGGCTGCAGTCACCATCTGCAGTGATTTTGGAGCCCAAGAAGCCTCGCACTGTTTCTATTGTTTCCCCATCTGTTTGCCACAGAGTGATGGGACTGGATGCCACGATCTTAGTTTTTTGAATGTTGAGTTTTAAGCCAACCTTTTCACTTTCCTTTTTCATTTTCATCAAGAGGCTCTTATAGTATTCTTCTATAATTAATATTTCCTGTCTTTATAAGATTAATGGTAAAGTTCTCACTTTCATTCCTGATTTTAGTGATTGGAGTGTTCTCTCCTCTTTTCTTGGTTGGTCTGGCTTAATGTTTGTCAGTTTTATTGGCTCTTTTCACAGAACTAAGTTAGTTTTATTGATTTTTCTCTATTGTTTTTTATTCTATATTTCATGGAAAGGGTTAACGTTGCTCAGTCGTGTCCGACTCTGTGACCCCATGGACTGTAGCCCTCCAGGCTCCTCTGTCCATGGAATTATCCAGGCAAAAATACTAGAGTGGGCTGCCATTCTCTTCTCCAGGGGATCTTCGTGACCCAGGGGTTGAATCTGGATCTCCTGTGCTCGCTTCGGCAGCACATATACTAAGATTGGAACGATACAGAGAATATTAGCATGGCCCCTGCACAAGGATGACATGCAAATTCTTGAAGCAGTCCATATTTTTGAAGACCCAGAGGAATGGGATGAGGGGGGAGGTGGGTGGGGATCAGGGTGGGGAACACATGTAAATCCATGGCTGATTCATGTCAATGTATGGCAAAAACCACTACAATATTGTGAAGTGATTAGTCTCCAACTAATAAAAATAAATGAAAAAAAAAAAACCTGGATCTCCCATGTTGCAGACAGGCTTTTTACCATATGAGCTGCCAGGATCTCTGCCCTAATCTTTATTATTTGCTTCATTCTTACTTTGGGTTTAGGTTTTCTTTTTATTGTTCCTTAAGGTGGAAGATTACATTACTGATTCGAACTCTCTCTCCTTTTTCTTTTTAATGTAAAATTTACAGCTGCACTTATCACTCTGAGCACTTTTTCACTGTATCCTATGTGTTTTATATGTTGTATTTTTATGCAACATAGCATTTAATTATTAACCTTATGATTTGTTCTTTGACCCACTGGTCATTTAAGAGTATGTTGTTTAGTTTGCAGTTTGTGAATTTTCCAAATTTCCTTTTGTTACTGATTTTTAGTTTCATTCCATTGTGATCAGAAGAGATAATTTGTATGATTTCAGTGTTTAGAAATCTATTGAGATTTTCTTTGTGACAACATATGGTCTATCCTAGAGAATATTCCATGTGCATTTGAGAATATTTGTATGGTGGTTGTTGAGTGGACCATGCTATATACATCTGTTAGGTTTATTTGGTTTATAGTATTGTTGATATTTTTTGTTTCCTTCTTTCTCTTTTTTTATGGTTGTGCTATCCATTGTTAAAAGTGGGATGTTGACTTCTGCTGTTTCTCATTTTAGTTTTGTAGTTTTGACTTCATATGTTTTGTTTATATGTTGTTAAGTACATATATGTTTATAATCATTTATATCTTCTTGATCCTTTTAAAACTGCATAATGTTGGTCATTTGTTTTGTTTTAATGTCTGTTTGTCTGATATTAGTTTACACATTCCAGTTCTCTTTTGGTTACTACTTACATAGAATATCTTTCCATCCTTCCATTTTCAACCTATTTATATGTTTTTGATTCTAAAGTACATCTCTTGTAGATAGCATATTGTGGATCATTAAAAAGAAAATCCATTTGACCAATCTCTGCTTTTTAATTGTAGTGTAATTTAATTCAGTAACACTTACTGTAATTACAGATGGAAGGACTTCTGCCATTCTTTGATTTGTTTTCTTATTTCTTTTTGTTCCTCATTTCTTCTATTACTACCTTCTTTTGTATTAGTTATTTTCTCATGTAACATTTGAGTCCTTTCTCTTTTCTTTCACTGTGCATCTTTTAGTTATTTTCTTAGTGTCTGCCCCAAGGATGATAGTTGACATCTTAATTTGTAAGTTTAGCTAAAGTTAATATTAGTATTATATAAAACTTTTCTTCTCTATGGCTCTATTCCCCCATTTTTATCATCACTTTACATCTTTATTATTGTGTACCCATAAGGGTAGCTTTATAATGATTGCTTCATTTATTTGCTAATTGATTGATATTAAATACTAAACCACTCTTGCATTCTTAAAATAAATTCAGTCAAAATGAAGTGTTGTTGTTTTATCCTTATAATGTATTTCTGGTTCAACTTTCTAATGTTTTGCTAAGATTTTTGTGTCTGTAATCATGAGGATATTGGCTTATAATTATCTATGTGTGTGTGTGTGAGAGAGAAAGAGATATGGTTTAGTGTCAGTAATGTGGTTGGAAATTGTTCCTTTCCACTCTGTTTTATGAAGGGGTTTGTACTAAATTGATGATATTTCTTAAACATTTGATATAATTCAGTGAAGCAACCTGGACCAAGACTATTTTTGTGGAAAGATTTTTCAACTACTTATTCACTTAAAAATAGTTACAAAGTTATTACTCAGCTATTATCCATTTTGGCATGTTGTAGTTGAATTTGTCTAATTAATCTAAGTTGTCAGATTTGTTAGCATGAAGTTCTTCATGATATTTTCCTAATAACCTTTTTAATATCTGCAGCAATGTAATTTTTGGAAAATGCTTATATTAGCATTATAGCAGGCATACAGTGCTTATTACATACCTTTGATTTTACAAATATTAGCTCTTTTAATTCCCATGACAATTTGTGAGGTAGATAGTATTATCATCTCCATGTTATAGATGAAAAACCAAAGTTAAACTGAAAAAAGTTAGGTGCCTTGCTCAAGGTTACAGAACTGGTGTGTTAAGGGCTTAAATTGTAATCCAGGTGGTCTGGGTCCAGAGTCCTTTTTTCTTAACTACTATTTACTTTGCCTTTCTGAAATGCCAGATAGCTGTTCTGTTCTTCTTAAGAAATTGTGCTATGTTCGCTGTAGAAACCATCCTTGCTCCCAACACCTTAACACCACTGAGTGGAAATATTTGTTTCAGGTATTCCTAATTAAAACTTGGAATGCCTTTTCTCCCATAAAAACATTACATATGTTGGCTAGGCATACTTGAAATATTATTGTTAATACTCTTCTTCAGCCACGTAATATGTTAAAAAGACTTCTGGGGTTTCACTGGGAAGTTTACCAAAATTTATAATGTGAAACATTGTTTCTGTGGGAAAATATTAGAAGAAATTTATTTTAAATTCACTTGCCTAAAATGTTAAACTTCAATTATGTGAAAGTGTTTCTTAATTTCTTAATGATTTGAACCTACTGAGTTATTATTAAATCATAATTTAAAAAAGACAAACATCATGATTAATTTGGACACATATTTTGTTTTACTTTGATTAATTTGTTGATCAATGTCTTTTAGGGTTATTCAAATGTTCAGAAGAATATTCTTCTCCAGGTGGATCAGAACTGTGTTCGCAATTCTTATGATGTCTTCTCTTTGCTGCGGTAAGAAACTTCTTAGAGTCCTCTTGCATTTTCTAAAGAATCTTCCTCATTCTGAGTTTGTGACATTTCAGTGTGAGGAAACGTATGGGAGCTTTGGAAGCTGTTACTCAGACTTAGCATTTTTTAGTGAGAGGTTCATAAATTTTGTAGCTACAGTTATTTAAGTTTATCTCTTTTACAAAGCCTTTCAAATGCCATTTTTTTTCCTGCGGACAGTGGGAGAGAATGATTGGAAGCTAGTGATCTTAAAGTAGGGACATGAGCTGTTTCCGGTCTTCTGCACTGTAAAGAACAGCAACCAGAGGTATAAAATTTAGACTTATCAAAATTTTAACAATGATGCCATTACTTAGAAAAGCTCTCCAATAGGCCTAGATGTAGCTTAGAGTTTTGACCTGCTGTAAAAGAATCATGTTTGGCAAGTCAAAGAGCTTTGCGTGAAGCTCATGTGCTCAGAGGCTTAGCTGCCTCAGCTCTGTATTTTCATAATGTCTGGGTTTAATTTTGTAAGATTTTAAAATTTGGTTTTAATTTTCAGTGTGGTAGATCATCAAGGACATTTTCCCAGGAGGCAGGCTACCAAAATAAGTGCAGTTTAAAATAAAGTTAACAGTGACACTCAACCTACGTTCACCCTACTCAGACAGATGGTTCATTGAAACTCGATTTTGGCAGTCTTTTCCTAATGTTTACATAACACATCATAAATTTCAGACCATTAGACATCCTCTATATATCTGTTGGAGGAAGAGTCCAGAAAGATGATTGGATCCTTGTCCAGTTGGATGGTTGTTTATTTTGTAAACGTTGTTAAATGAGCCTTTCCTTTGCAAATCTTGAATCTTGTTATACAGAATGATAGAGAGTTTGGTCACATGGACTATGTAAATTGCTCTTAAGAGACAATGATTTCAACTAAAGTAACCACACACATTTGATGTCTTGATTTTTACCTGAGAGATACTTTGACTTCTTAGGGTATGTACCAGAATGGACGGAATTTAGTAATTGAATGGTATAGATAGAAAACAAGTTGTGTCAAAATATATAACTCTTATTTTGAGCCTATTCAGTTTGGATTACATTGAGTTTTAAGTATTGAAAAGAGGGATGCACAGAAATAGTTTGAATTGTGAGTAAGCCACTAATATTTCTTGGCCTATTTTCCTCAGTAAAATAGAGTTATAGATACTATTATGTTTAAAGATATTTTTGAAGTGTGAGATTTTATTATTTTATTAGAGACATCAGTAAAGTTAAAAGCAAAAGGAATACAGAATCAGTAAGAAGAGAATTTGGGAAAGGTGGTATCATAGAATCTAAGAAAACAGAGATTTAAGGGGTATTGAAGGCCCTGGTGGCTTAGAGGGTAAAGCGTCTGCCTGCAGTGCGGGAGACCAGGGTTCGATCCCTGGGTTGGGAAGATCCCTTGGAAAAGGAAATGGCAATCCACTGCAGTACTCTAGCCTGGAAAATCCCATGGACAGAGGAGCCTGGTAGGCTACAGTCCATGGGGTCGTGTAGAGTTGGACATGACTGAGCAACTTCACTTTCCTTTCCTGAAGGCTCTGTACAGTAATGATTCAGGAGAATAAGAGCTGAAGAAAGACTGCGGAATCTTGGGAATCAGCTTGGTATAGTGGAGAATGTGTTGACTGACTTGCCTGTGACTTAATTATCCTTGATTTATCCTAGTTCTTTTAACCTCTTTGATGTTCTAAAATATAGAAGCAGTGGTGTTACAATTTGTTTGATTTACAAGCGTTTTCACATCTATTACCTTTTTCTCCTAGAAGTTTTCTGTGTTCCCACATCAGGGATCAGCTTTTGTCTTCCATGTAGAAGTGAGGCCAAGGGGCAGTCAATTACTTATCAGTACTCAGCTGAGGGGACACACACCAAGTAAGAGCCAGACTGCAGATTGGTATGAAGGTTATCTGGCAAACAAAATTTGCAAACCCTTTTCACGCTCTGACTTATCCTAGACTGGTGGTTATTGGGTGCATGTAGCATGATGATAGAGAAAATTTCTGAAAGTCATAGAGCCCTCCATAAATGCAAAATCATAAAATTAGTTTGGTAGTTGCTCAGGTAATTAACACTGATCTTGCAATGAAATGTCTCTGGGGAGTTTCACTTCTGGAGTGCCTTCTAGATTCCTTAGGTGTGTCAGTAGTTTGAATAACCTTGTTAATAATTGCCTGCTCATCACCTTTATGTAAATCTTTTGTAGCTGGTAACACAGATATACTTTTTTCTGAACTAAATCTAATGTCTGTTTATCAAGTAAATTGGCTGAACCCGGAAAGTTACTTTGGAGCTAGAAACTTTAAATTGTACTTGTCAATGTTAATGAGTAAAATGGAACTTTCTTTGCAAATTCACACAGTTCAGAGTAATTGTCATGTATCTGCTCAATTAAAAGTTCTTTTCCCACTGTTCTTATCATGAAATACATATAAAGTGATTGCTGAGAAAGTTAATGTGGTGCTAATTAATTTTGTTCATTGCTTCCCCTCCTTAACTCAGGCAACATTGTTCCTGGATGGAGTAATTTTTAAAAATATATCTTCTTCTTTCCTGATGATTTTTTTTAATTGTTACTTCTTGATCTGTGATTTTATGTGAAAAGACAGAGTCTGAATTTTTTAATATGACTTACTCCACAAAGTTCTCAGTACTGTTTGTAGTCAGGGTTAGAACCCATGTCTGCTGTTAGTTAACTCTCATTGTGTTTTTATGTTGGTAGCTGCTATGAATTGATAATGTCCCACCTTTTATTTGTAAATGTCATACAAAAAAGTAGGAAATCTTGACTAAGTAAAGGCTGCTTTTAGAACATCTATGACCCTAGCTAGCATTATAGCCCCTTCTGATGGATGTGTTGTACCACATTTTGTAGGAAAACAATGACCTGAGGTTTTACTCTTCTGCCAACAGTTAGGAATTTAGACTAATTCCAGTGTTACCAAAGAAAGAGCAGCTCTTTCCAAATTTACATTCAGTGTGTGTGATGGTAACTGATTTCTGCTTCCTAGCCCTTGGAAATCCCTGGATTAAGCATTAGTTTTCATGTAAGCAGACATGTAATTAGGAGACCCTTCAGTTGTCACATTTCATACTTTAGGATGTTCACCACAAGGTGTCAATGTTGCTCTTTAACTGGCATTTGAAATTTCCTTTATTTTACAGTTTTGAAGTGAGAAAAGTAGACTTATGAATTATAAGTGAGCCTTTAATTTAGAAGTTAACTTTCCTTCTCTTTTTTATTATTCCTTCTAGGTTAATGAGTTTATAAACAGCTTTTTCTTTTGGGATCTGTTGATTTTTAAAATTTTTTGTTTATTGTTTACTTTGTTGGTGATAGGGAGTTGTTGAAAGATTGCACGGAGAAGAGTGACATGCTCAGGAGTGAATTTGATTCTAACCATGATGATAGTATGGAAGAGACCTGAGGGACAGGTCTAGAAGCAAGCAGATGGCTGTAATCCTACCTGTCCTGGAATTGAAAGATTATTTTTAGTGTTTAAAAACGTTTTTGTTTTGTTTTCCCTTTCATACTTCCTCAGAAAGGTAACTATTGTATTGAATTAAGCGAGACTAATTGTTTTCTCTTGAGTATAGTTTTCTTTTTTTTTTTTTTTTTCCTTCTCTTTTGACATGGCCTCCTTTTACCTATTTAATAAATGAAGGTATGGTGGAGAAACCATGGGCTTTGGTCCTTCATCTAGGTTCCAGTCCTAAATCGCCAGGTTACTTTGGGCAAGTTTCTTAACTTTGGTATGCCTCAAACTGTTCTTGTAAAATGGGGGTAATATTGGTCTCATAGACATGAGAATTAAAGAAGGTAAAATAGATTAAAAGATCATAGGACAGTTGCTGGCACATAGTAGACATTCAATAAATAATAGTCTTCATTTCCCCCTTGACTTCTTCCACCTTGAAATTAGCATTCTTCTCTGTTCCACTGTTCCCTTTGTATATTACTGCTAGGTTTTCCAATTTTTGGCATAATTTCCCTTTCTGTTCTTGCCATTCTAATGCCTACCACCTCTGTTTTTAGAATTACTTTTGTTAATCGTCTAACAATCATGATAAAAATTATTTAACATGTGCATGTCTTGTCTCCCTGATGGCACTGAAAACTACTTGAAGAAAGGGGTTGTTTCGCAGGGCTATGTTGTCTCCTCTCCATCTTACTGACGTTATGTTGGAGTTACTGTGGATTCTGTTGTGATCCCGGAGCTCTTGGTCCTGTGGATCCTGCATTACTCTTTCTCTCTAAGGACTCTTTTTCATTACCACAACTTCAACCACCACAGCCACATGTTAATAGCTCTGAAAACTATGTCTCTAGTTCCAAGTTTTCTTTTGGATTTCTGCTCTTTAGTTTCCAGGGACAAGTAGACTTTCATATTCTGTAGGAACCTCAACCATAACAAGTCTGGCTTAATCTCCATACACTGGCCTGATCTTTCTCTTCCTTTTGTTTTCCCTGGTTTCTCTAGTAGTAGCATCAGCATCTCAGGCTCGCTAGTGAGCATACCTTTCTTTGTTCTCACCTCTGTTTTCCTGGACTATTTCCTGACCTCTGATCTTCCTACTTTCAGGTTTTCTTTCATGCAATTAATAGATATCATTTTAAAAAATCATTTGTTTATTTATGGCTGTGCTGGGTCTTTGTTGTTGTGCAGGCTTTCTCTAGTTGCGGTGATCGGGAGCTACTCTTCATTGTGGCATGCGGGCTTCTCATTGTGGTGGCTTGTCTTGTGGAGCACAGGCTCTAGGCACACAGGCCCAGTAACTATCACAAAGGCTTAGTTGCTCCACGGCACGCGGGATCTTCCTGGATCAAGGATCAAACCTATGTCCCCTGTGTTGGCAGGTGGATTCTTAACCACCGGACCACCAGGAAAGTCCTAATAGATATTATTTATTGAACATTTCCTTTGCATTAGGAACTATGTTAAGTGATTTATATGAATTGACTCTTCTAATTT